TCAACAACACACTTTTGCATACAGTAGCGAGACAGGTTCACACAACATAACCAGAAATATACGCAAGTAGTGGCGCGAAAACCGCACAGCCAGTGGTAAGGCTGTGCACTGTTGCCATTGCTAGTATGAGAGTATTCGCCTCTGTCACAACTAGCCCCTGTTACAACCAACCCCGGTGTCCTAGATCAGACCACGACTCTATAGGTAATCATAGGTCTGATCATGGCAGTGTACCTCCTATTCACAACTCTAGGATTAAGTTCATAGCCTTCTCTCAAGGTGAATTTTCCATTTCAATTTTGCGTCTAGAGTGATGATACGAACGTGTTCCACCTCCTTGGCAAAATCTAATCGTGTGTTTGGTAGAACGGGTGCCCTAAGAGGTGCCGTCCTCATTTTTCCAGTGAAGAACACCATTTCCGTCTTCCTGGGGTTGATAGAAAGGGACACCATTCTTTGACCAAACGAATGCTCTGCTCTACATATTATTGCACAGGACTCCTTCAAACTTTGCATTAAGCAGTCTTGACAGGTCGTCTATGTAGGCAATTGTACAGAATCCGTTAGAGTTGAGGCGGTGTCAGACGCTATTGAGAAAAAAGTTCCATAGCAGCTGGTGTAGCAGCCTGTGGTACGCTTACCTGATATCAACTGCTGAGGGCTGCCATCCCGAATCTCGAGCAGCGTTTCCGGCTCAAATACTCTATACGACATCCTCTCTTTTCAACAAGTCAGTGTCTTTTTAACTTAGCAGTTGAGTGGAATTCAACGCGACTAGCCTTAAACCTTAAACCATTGTTTGTCCTATTTACACTGGGTATATTAATGTTATGGATAAAACTACACACTAATTCACTATATACACTGTACAATGTTCATTCTGACTTTTGCTTCAACTAATCTTCACCATACATTCCAATGCAGGTGCAACGATGTCTGGCTGGTCTAGTCTTCCTGATCTGGTGAATGGAGTTACATACTTCGGTCTTCTCCTCGGAGCCTGGTTCAGATATTACGGAGTGGTTGGAGCCGCTTCCACTTTCGGAGCTATTGCGTTCAATTTCTTGTCAACGGATTTGTGATACGGCTGAACCGTATCCTGTGTTCGTATCGTCCCCTCCATCGTCATCCTCTGATTCTGAGCTTGACTCATCATTACAACTTACGTTCAGTTCCCAATTGGACATCCCTAGTCGAGTATCTGTCCCTTGCTCGAGTCTTATCATTGCGTCTGAGGTTACTTCTATAAGTTGGCTTCTGTTTCGCCCGATGACGTTATTTTCTGCGGCGATAATAGTAGGAAGTATGTAGGCTTTCTGGCTCAAAACAGAGACAAGACAGAGACACTCCCCCTACCACTGAAGATCAACTGTTGCCCTACCGCGCCCTGTATCCCCCTACCGTTCACTCGAGTTACTACACATAACCACCCCCCTACCGCGCCCTCTATCCCCCTATCGCGCCCTCTATCCCCCTACCTTTCAAGATTCTACAGTTTACTTTTTCCCAAGATAGGTTTTGACATTGTCCACTTTGAAACATAAACAATGCCGCTAATGCCGCTTATTGGTCGTAAAATGCCATTTGCACGACATGCATTGTAAAACTAATGTCAACTTGCAGGGACACCTCATTTTGCGACCAATCAGGGCCAAGCGTTATTGTTTATGTTGCAAAGTTTTCAATGTCGAAATCTATCTTGGGAAAAAATAGACTGTACACACAACCATCCCTTTATGTTTTAAGCTGGTTTTGTGCTTGATTTTGCTGGTTTCGTGCTAAATTTTGCTGGTTTTGTTCTGGATTTTGCTGGTTTAGCTGGTTTTGTGCTGGATTTTATCTGACTTGGAAGGGGGATTGCTTGAGATCGTAACTAGGGGGGCATAATTATAGGAAAATGGAAAATTGTGGTGGAGGGATTTGTGCGCGATAGGGGAATACAGGTAGGGTGATGGTTGTATATTCAGTGATAGGGGGAATTCATAGAGGGCGCAGGGGATGGTTGTATCTTCAGTGGTAGGGGGAGTGTCTCTTTGTCTCGTTTCTGTTTTGAGCCAAAAAGCCTACATACTCCCTACTGATAATATAGGTATGTTTTAGGTTCAGGTCCAACATCCATTACTTTCCCAAACATTTTCATATCAGGTATCCAAACTTTATTATTATTTTTTAAAATAGAATTTGATCTTGCTCTATGTCCCTTTGAAAAGCAAATCTCAATTTTGGCCTCAAAAACTTTCTTAAAATCTGACATGCTCTCAAAAATTTGCTCATAGTTTTGGTAATTTCCAACGAATCCACTTGTACTATAGGTTTTCTGAAAGAGGATTAAATTCTCTATAAAACCACCAAAAATTAAGTCATTTGCTTCTATAGGCTTTGAGAAATTAGGCTTCAAAGTTGGAATTTTATTGAGATTTTATCAAAAACTTCAAGATAATAGAAATAACTCAAAAACCCCAAGTGATCAAAATGTTCTCCAAATCAAGTATTGAAGTACTCAATGAGAGCTACAAGATCAGAAAAATTTGACTTGATACCGCTTATATTTACTGAGGAATTGAAAACTCGTTATCAAAATTCAATGTTTGAACTTCTTTTTCGTTGCTTCTGACTTCCTTGAAGTGGTTTATGTAGTTCCACAGGATAAATCTGTCTTTCTTAGCTGGAATTCAATTCCTTGGTTTTCTTCCCATGATCAGTTCTGCTGGTGAAAATCCACTCTCTAGTTTTGCTGCTCTATGACTTGACAGTCCTAAGTTTGGGTCTTTGCATTTAAGAATTAGATTCTTGGCTATTTTTGTGACGTGACTGAATCCATATGTCTGAGCAAATTGTTTGAATATGTGGCTAGAAAAACAAGGCTGATATAATGGTCTCCTATATTCCCCAACTTGACAACATCTGTTCTAGTTTCGTTATGACATCTACAGTAGTTTCTGAATTAAAGTTGACAACCTCTATAAATATAGAGAAATAATCGACTGCCAGTAGATAATGTTTCTTGTTGACCACGAATAAAGCAACTCCGACGATCTGCCAAGGATATAGGGGTAATCTGGCACAGGGGGAGGAATCATTGGTTCAAATGTTGTATTCCTATTGAATGCATGTTAAGAAATTGGTTACAATTTCTTTTATTTGTTTTGAGATTTTGGACCACGACACCGTTTCATTGAGCCTCGTGCATTTTGTCCAATATTTCCTTGCGAAATGTCGTCGGAATGAATACTCTGTTGTTGGGGGTTACTAAGCTATCCAATATAACCATATATCCTTGATATTGGTAGACAATTTTATCTTCGGTTGGTAAATCCTTAATGTGTGGCCAACCATTTTGTATATAACTAATTATTCTTTTGGTTTGGACATCATTCTTCTGATGACATTCCAAGACACTTTTTATGCGCATGTCCTTGATAGGCATTGATTCTCGAATATGATTTGCAAAATCTTCCACTTTTTCTATGAGCTCGTTGACGAATAAAATATCTGCTCAATGATCACTGAATTTTAGTGGAGCTCTGGATAATCATGTTTCTGCCAGCAATATACTGTACATCATGCAAAAATCGCATCAAGCTCATTCGGAATCTGTGGATTCTAGCTAATAGATCAGCTAATTAATTGCTTCGTAGAAGTTCCACTAGGGGTTTGCGGTCAGTCAGGAGCATAAATGTTTGACCAAGAAGGTATTGAGCGAATTTTTCTCAGGCCCATGTCAAACACAATGTTTCTCACTGTAAGTATCTGTGCATATCGTTTCTCTGTATTGTACATTGTCCTGGATGCATAGCCGATAGGTTTGCAGACATCTTTATCCATTGGTTTCAGGACTGCTCCCAATCCATATGAACTGGCGTCCACTATGACTCTTGTTGGATATCCTAGACCAAAATGTACTAACATTGGAGCTGTCTTAAGAGCTTTTTTTATGCTTTCAAATGCTCGTTGTTGCGGCTCTGCTCACATAAATTCGTTGTGTTTTCGTAACGGTTGTCTTATGGGGTCGGACATTTCCGCTACTCCTGGAAAGAATTTAGTGTTAACCTGTACGCAGCCCATCAGTCTTCTAACTCCGCTTATATCGTTGGGGAGTTGCATGTATAAAATGGCTCGAATTTTCTCTTCATCGATTATAATTCCTCAATCTGAAACGCTGCCAAATTCGCATTTGTTTCTATATATCTTACAGTCTACCGATGTTGTAGTCGATCTGGCAACATCGAAGCTACCGTCCCGTCGTATTCACCCCCAACACAAACACCTGGCTGGGTTCTGCGTTTTGCAGGCCGCCAGGGTCTTCACCGTTTTCACACTAAAAATCCGCACTATACCTAGTGAAAGCACTTCACTAAAGTGGCTAAATACCGGTACTTTTCGCCCGAAACACGAAGCCTGTGGTACGCTTACCTGATATCAACTACTGGGCCTTGCGTCGAGGGCTGCTATCCTGACTCTCGAGAGGCGTTGCCAGCTCAAGTACTTTATGCCACAGCGGGGATTCAACACTATCCTGTGGACAACCTCTAACTGCGGTGTTTTCAAATCTGAGTTGTAGCATCTTTTTGCGAGCATGTTCTAAGAATCCAGCCGCTAACAACAGATAGCACACCTTTGGTAACTAGTGCTGAGTTAATTTTTCGTGAGGTGGTTTTGTCAAACGCGCCCTCAATGTATATAAATACGCCAAGGCTGGACTCCTTGTAGTCCAATAATCTGATATGGCTCACTGCTGAATGCAGGGCCGTGTCTGCCGATCTGCCTAAAGTGAATGCATGCTGGTTGGGCTATAATGGACTGTTGGACAGTATACAATTCCTTAAGCAGCCCTCAGATAATCTTTCCAATGTTTTGGTTTCATGCAGTTAGTTATTTTAGCATTGTTTTTAGTTTTTTTTGGTGAAGTACTGGTCAGAATTCATCATTTTTAAACAAGTTATGATTAATATATATGTAAAGTTTCAAGCTGATAAAATACATGAAATGTTCTTTTTCAGAAGGTAGCACAAAACCACCGTCAAAATGCATGAAAAAGGCTTCATCAACATGTTCAAAGGGACGGCACCTCAAATCGTTGCCGTAATGGGAGGTTAGTAATCAGAAAAACTATGATACATTATAATAAGAAAATTCTATTTGCACCGCAAAAATAAATTTCCCATTTAATGAGTCCGTGCACTTTTCAGGCAATTCTTTTTAAGTAATTACGCAAATTACTTATGCTAATGAAATACAAAGTAAATCCCAGTGAATAATAAATCTTGAGATTAAACAATTTCAATCAATAATAATTATTCATTTGAATTAACACTTTCGCTTAGAGTAGAATACAAAAAAAAATAATTAGAATGAAATTTTGGTTGTTTAGTAATTTTGAACGTGCAGGGCCTCAATTTTTGCCAGTAGTCTTAGGTAAGTGTCTATGTAATGTAAATCCAAATCAAATATAAAATACTGCTATCTTGATCCCTAGGTATTAGGATGTACTTAGGTAATATTTTTTAAATGTATTCTTAATTGCATTTTTAAGTTAAAACAGGTAATATTCAATTTACTAGTTACGTCAACAAACGTTTTTATTGAGCTGCTGTAAAACCCGAGAAAAGAATAAATTTTCATTAGTGAGTAGGTTTCTTTTCAAATGCGTTCAGTGATTTTAAGTCCTGTGAGTGAAAGCTATCATTTTCTAGTGTTTCATGTTTCTAATTAAATGAAGTTATAATGAAGTTATGGTTTTTGGAAATTTTTAAAACTGCGTCGCCACAATTTGTGCCAGTTTTTTGCAGTAAGTTTTTCTTTCGGTTAACACCCTGTATATTTGTCAATTTTATTGTTTTATTTTTAAAATAAATAGTTGCCCCATGGTGTTCGATAATTATTGAAATTAACAACTTTAAAAACTGGCCTGACATAACTAAATATAATAATTGAACTAAATAATCAACTGTATTTATGATGAAATATGTACAAACATTTTTACAGACCAGGTAGATTTACTCTACATAGACGAAAATTTTTAATTTTGCTCAGATCAATATTTCCTAAAGAAAAGCTTTTGTAACTTCTTCAATACCTACGTTCTAACAGTGTGAGTCTTCGAATTGTATTAGGTAGATTAACTTTTATTCCCATGCGTGATCCTCTAGGAAATCCATCGATCGATTGTGGGAAAACTATGATTAACGAAAATCTGAACATTTAATGTCATACTAAGGTCACCTATAAGGGATTAAAATATTTCCAAGTTAGTCGCAGGCCGATTGTCCTTTTATAGTTATACAAATAGAAAGAGCTTGAAGCATCAGCTGATAGAAATTTTGATTTTAAATGTAAATTTTTGTAAAAATAATGCATAAGAAAATAAATACGTGGAACAAATCCGTACATAATAAATTTGAAACACGTATAATAAATCCTTACATAAGTGATTGGATAAAATACCTATACATAACTAATAGAAAAAAAATTGCTTATTCGAATTATCCGCACATAAAAACATTAGGTATACCTACAAGTTTAATGAAAAAATACGATTTTAATTGGCATAATTTTAAAATCTAAGAAGTTATGTTAATACTTTACATTATACAATACGAAATAAAGCATTTGCATATCAAGACAAAAATTGTTAAATGCCTAAATTTTGTAAAACTTCTAATCAACAACGCATTTATCTATTTTCTTGGGGTGTGAGATATGATTATGGGTGAGTTTAAGTGACTTCAACTCTAGGTACCTTTTTACTATGTATATTTTAGTGTCCTTCCTGAAGAGACAGATAAAAATTATGAAAACTCCGCAATTTTTCTGAAATTCCACACAAATATTAAAAAAGACCAATTCTTCAGATTGATAAGGCCTAATTTGGCAAATTATTAACTATATATAGATCGACAAATATGACGTCTAAATTTTACCACACAATAAAAATACATAACCAGTTTTACCACACAATAATACATAACAAATTCTGCCAGCACGCATTTTATTTATTTTTTATATTGTGTGTTTAGCCAATTAAATACATTGGATGCAACAGCTGTAGTTAATTATTGAAATATCAATGAACCAGCTGTGAATATATACCTAATAGTTAGGTACTTATTAGGATCAGGATCAGGACTATTTGTGAAAGCAATAAGATTGAAGGACAGCGTTTTTAGTGAGTGATGAGGATCGAAAATATTTCCATTTTTTTCAACTTTGTATCAACTATCTTAATATAGTGACGGTGCGGTTTCGCCCAAAGCGTACAGAATCCATGCCTAAAATTCCAGTAAAAACTGCCTTTCGTTCAAGAAAGAAGGTAATAAGTATGTAATAATGATTTACTTTATAAGTCGACTTTATATTTTCAACAATTATGGAAAACTTGGACTATACAAATGACAACACCTCTCTACCTTTACCAGTTATATGGTAAAAGTAAAAGGTACAAAAATACCGGATGCTGAAGACATAACAGTCGTCCCTCGTAAATCTTCATTGTAAATTCTTTTTCTAAACTGGCTTAATTTTGGGTTCTGATCTTCTAAAAGTCATGGTGTTTTGTAGAATAGATGAATTCTAATCTCGTGTCTTGCTTTTTTCATTAACATCATGCTTTTTTTTATTGTTAGATTCTTCTTGTACAGTAGTACTAGTGGTTTGAATGTCTTTATCCGTTACTTCTTGTATGGTCGAGTGAATATTATTATTGGCATTTCTGACGACTCCATCTATATCCACTTCCAAAAGAACTGCAGGATCATTAATCGTGTTTTTGGGTACTTGTGTGATTACAACATGGTCAACGTGTCTACGCCATATACGACCATCATCCTTTTAATAAATTATGGAATAGCCCCTTTTTTTCTGCAATGTGACCATATTTCCATTTTGTATTTTTCTCCAAACTCTAACCCTGTCACCCCCTTTAAATTTCCTAAAATGTTTTTCTCCAACTGTCGCTTTTAAATTTTCTTTTCTTGTTTCATTTGGATCTCGTAATTCAATAATTTTAGGCAAGGGAGAACATTATTTGCAGTTGAATTAGGACTTCTTCTATATCTATCTATATTCTTAAGCCAACTTCTTGTAATTTCCTTAAAACAAGTTTACCCCTTTCCAAATTTTCTGTAAATGACTTCCCTTGAATTTTTATATCATCCAAAAACACCAGGAATCCCCCCTAATGTTCTTGTTATACAGTGTGTCCACTTAAGTTCGCAGCATATGGGAAACTTTGTTATTATCAATTTTATGAAAAAAAGTTATTCTTTATAAAAGTTTCTGCTTCTTGGAAAAAAAAAATTAAACTTTAACACTTGAAATAGCATGTACAGAGTGGTCAGAAAATAGAAAAATATACAGGATGTTTCCTAAGTACGGTTCCTAACTTCAGGATGTGATTCCTTACAATATTTTGAGAGATAAATTTCCCATGATAATGAAAAAGTTTTCCATGTGCTGCAAACTTAACTGGACACACTGTATATCTTTGCAATATCGCCGGTGCTACTTTAGTGCCAAACATCAATCGATTTACTTTATAATCCCCTATTAGAGTTGTAATGACTTGGATTTTAGCACTTTCTTCATTTATTGGCATATGTAAATAGGCTTCTCTAATATCCATTGTCGTAAATATTTTTCCACCAAGCAAGGTTTTCCCAAATATATATTCCACATTTTGCATTGGAAATTTATCATCTTTATAGGAAATTTATTTATTGTTATTTTGTAATCAGCGCATAGCCTAACAGAACCATCAGACTTCAAAATTGGAACTATGGGAGTCCCCCACTAGCTATACTCCAACTTAGTTAAAATATCTTTCATCTCAAGTCTATATATTTCAAAAATCAAAAAACATCTGTAAGTAAATGTTTCTTTAAGACTTGCAGTCACCTCCTTTTTTTCCTCCATTATAATTACAGAATGTATTCCTGAGGTCTAAAGTTTTGTGGTATTTATCCATTCTCTGCCAAAATCGGGTCAACTTCTCCTGGTATAATATATAAATTAGCTGTAACTTCGCTTCCCTTAACTTCCAAATTCATACTTGAAAAACCAATAGGTTCTATAATTCCACCTGTATATGCTTTTCCAGGAAATTTGTTAATAAAGTCCATTTCTAGCTGGATTCCATCTAAAGTTACTTTTACTAGATATTTTTTTGGTTTTTAAAAATTTTCTGGTAAATATATTGTATCAAGTGCATTAAGATAATATAATTCATCTTCATTTTCTTTTTCCAAAAATTGATTTAAATTTCTATAAATTGAGGATGAATTTCTTGGAACAGAAGAAGAATTCATACATACTTTAGCAATGTGTCCTCTTCTACCACATTTGTTACAGTTTAGAATAATTTTAACACAGATATTTGCTAAATGTGAATTTTCACCACAGCGGTAGCAGGATTTTAACTTCTTGAACTCTTTCTGTTTAACTGATCGTAGTTTAACTGTATTAACTTGATTTTGATCAAACAAACTACAATTTTGAATTTCCTTCGTTTCTTGATGTGCAGTTTCCATTGCGATGGCCACAGTAACGCAATCAGAAAAATTATTCTTTGGAGTCTTTAGTTGTATTATTTTTTCAATAAAATTTGGATTTTTCAAACCGCTATAAAATTGTTGTCGAAGGTGCACATCAACAGCTAAGACATTTGAATGCACAGTCCTTGCATAACTTTTAAGGTCAATAACGAAATCTGAAATATTTTCGTCTTCTTGTTGAACTCGTTTTGCAAATTTATTTTGTGATGCAATTATACTTGAAGAAGGATTTAAATGTTCTTTTACTAACTTCACTAATTCTTCATATGTTTGAGCCTTAGGATCATCAGGAATTACCAAGTTGTAAGTAGGTTGTAAGGTTTTGGTTCCCATTGTATGAAGCAACCATTCCATTTTCTTTGTTTCTATTTCAGAAGCAGATCCTATAAAAAATTTCATATTAAAGAAGTTTTCTAAACTTCTAATGTATAAATTTCAAAATATCGTATGTTCCAAGAAAGGTTCCATCGAAATACTTTTCCTGGAGGTGTTTTGAACTTTGGTTGTAGCCTGCATAATTTTTGAAAATTTTTCGAAAAATCCT